AACCCTAAGATCAGTAAGATGCTTTTCACTTACCTTAAGAACTAAGATGGCGCCGTCGGGCTCCTTCACGAGTTCGTCTGCGGCCACAAAAGGGAGCCACATCGCCGCCCTGCTATGTGCGCGCGTGGTCTCCGCGCCACGGACACCCGTCGTGCCACGGACGCCCGTAGGCATAGAAGACGAGGGCAGCAGGTCCATACATAAAAGTTGCTTATTTTCCTAGTGAAGTTGTTTACTATATCTGTTAATGTTACTTTGAATATTTACATGTGCTTTCATATTGTGTTCGTATTGCATAACAAGTAGTTCAAATTTTGCAATGCTACGTAATGTTAATTTGAATATTGTTAATTTGAATACTCTAACCCTTTGTTTATCAATATGTAACAGGATGGCGCCTCCCGCGTAGCACCAGTTGTACCCCCTTCTTGAGGTGGAGTACGACGAGCCGCACCAAGCACACTTCTTGACTGACACCGACATAGAGGTGCCCTTACCTCCTTTGAGGCCCCGCACGCACACCAGGGCGCACCAGTGGGACGAGCGTTACGCGCCGTACATACGGTGTGCCGGCTTCCTCGAGCTTGTCCGTGTTGTCAACTACGGTCTTCCGCCCCTTGACCCAGCACTACTTACTGTAGTTGTAGATAGGTGCGAGTGCCTTTATTGTATGTAAACATTCTTATAACAAATTTGATGTAACTAACAGTCATTCTATTCTTATAACAAGTGGAGGCCTGAGACCCACACATTCCACCTACTTTGCGGCGGGATAACCTTGACCATGCAGGACGTGAAAGGCTATCTTTGGTCTTCGGTTGGGGGGACTTCCAGTGACAGGTATAGTTGACAACGATCACTGAAGGGAGCTGGTGGCTCAGTTCACTGGATTTCTTCCACCGAACGATGAGGTTTCCAAGAAAAATAAGTGAGCGATTCAAGCCTATTTAATACTTGTATTGCTTTTCTGCAGCCATCGATTCTCATTTTCTTTGGTGAATTTCAGAAAAAGTTTTAGTGTTTCGTCGTCGTGGATCCCAGAGCGCTTTGATTACTTGGATCCACAGGCTGATGAGGCTCAGATCGACAGGGTCACTAGAGTGTGGCTCTGGCACTTCCTTGGTGCTTTCCTATTCCTAGACGCCTCAGGCAACACCATCAGCTAGATCTTCCTTGACATACTACACCAGTCGTGGGATAACATAGCGACATATAGTTGGGGCAGCGCAGTCCTAGCATGGATGTATCGATAGCTATGCGTTGCCTGCCGTGGCACCTTAGGGTATGTGAACCTTAGGGGTTGCTCCTACCTACTCCAGGTTTGGTGTTTGGAACGATGGCTCATTGGGAGGCCTCTTGTTACGGGTTTACCGGTAAGTATTTCGGTTCACTATATTCTTCGAGATAGTTACATATGATGAAATTATTAATGGCTAATTCATTATCATGTTCAATGCAGCATTAAAACGGGCATGATACACTCCCTATAGCTCTGTATATCTGGACGCAAGCAGAGTTAGTTAGAGGAAATGCGAGACGCAAGTACATGGAGTACACAGACTGTCTTGACGTCCTGACACAGCACCAGATTACGCTCTCTTTACTATCATACATGTGTCTTGTTCGATGTACACTATATCACAACCTAACTCAATTATGAAATATTCAGGTGCATTGGTGTCCTTGGGATGCTCCGGAGCTCCAGTACTATCTGACTCCTATCACTAGGGATGAGTCAGACGAGTATCGCTGCAACGTCCCTCTTATTTTCTTCCACGTGGTTGAGATTCACTTACCCATCAAGGTTTGCAGGCAGTTTGAAAGAATGACAGGCTACCCACCACCGCTTTACTCCACCAATCAAGAATTGCATGGGTGCGTTATCGATTAATAACAAGGCTATAATTTAGAGGTGTGTATGGTACAACTAGCAATCGTTTTGTTACAGGTATGACCGCAGCAAGAGATACAAGAGCAAGGATTGGCGTGTGACACACAACGCATACATTCGGTTAATGGCGAGCAGGGGACCGACATCTCGGTCGATCACGGGTCCCCACACCACCAGCACACCTTCGGCGAGTAGTACCTACGGTGGCTTCACGGTGTGTACGAGGACACATATCAAGCCCCCGTACTGCGAGAAGGCGATTGGCGAGGGCGGCGAGGAAGATGTGATCGAAGATGTATGCGATGTTGCCACTAGGGACGACACACAACTCTGAGAGCCCGCTTCAAAGATACGTGGTAAGATACTCAAATGGTATAGTTTGTTATCCATTTGGTATTAAGTATGTGTACTAAACCTGTCCAAGCTGCGTTTACGTATCCACGCGACACAATTGTTAAGGATGTCCAACAAGCGTGTGTTTGGCTTCACGAGTCTAGAGGCGGGGCGGGCATAATCGAGGCTTTTGTGGAGGTAAACATAAACTTGTCCGTTCCAAAAATATTTCTTTAGTGTATATGCGTTTGGGAAATGCACTTACTTTAACGTCTATTCATGCAGAAGGTGAAGCGGAACTATAGGAAGCTAGCTCAGAAGTTGAGCTGCATGGACACTCCTTGGGTGGAACCCGATTACCCGCCTTGTTGGTGTTGGTCTTTGGTTTGGAAATTTGGGTGATCTTTGGTTTTTATGAGAGAAAAAAACATTGCTATACATTTGGTTTGGGTTGGTTGAAACCAACAAGCGAACAATTTGTTCGTCGATGCTGGCAAAAACCTAGGCAATGGGGTGTTGTGGATGTTTTGAATCTTTGATCAGAAAAAATCACACAAACTGGTCCTTTAAATCCAGTAATTTTAAGAGATACAAGTAGATTGTGCAAATTCTGGACTCACTACGAGTCAGAATTGGCGAATTGCTCGCCTCGGCGAACAGCTCCCGCTGTGCCTTTCGGTCGATACCACTGCAAGGTCGGCAATGGTGGTGGAAATGTGCGCGGCCGCACGCGAAAGCTTCACGGCAAATGCAAGGTCGAGCCCACGCCCCATGCCAGTGCCACGCGATCGTGTGGGCTTTGCGTCTGGTTTAGATCGTGCATGGAGCATTAAATGTAGACGAAAAGAAAAACTAATTACACAGTTTGGTGGGAAATTGCGAGACGAACGTTTTGAGCCTAATTAGTCCATGTTTGAACACTATTTGCCAAATAAAAACGAAGGTGCTACAGTAGCCCTAAAATCCAAATTTCGCGAACTGAACAAGGGCTTAGCATCTTGAGCTTCGGAGTCGAAGATATCTTGTCAAATTTATGGCACGAAAATAAAAAAAAACGATAGTTATTTTGGCATGGAGGAAGCAGTTGGCAATCGAAAAGAGCTTATACTGTCGCTGCTGCAAACCTTTCAACACGTGTTGCTAGCTGAACAGCTAAAGTTTCAGCAGTAGTTGGCAATCTGAAAAGAGCTGTTTAGATGCAATTGTTTTGGGGTTTTGGCTATTGTAGCACTTTTGTTTGTATTTAACAATTAGTATCTAATTATGGACTAATTAGGTTTGAAAGTTTCGTCTCGCGACTTCTCACGCAACTGTGCAATTAGTTTTTTTTCGTCTACATTTAGTACTACATACATGTGCCGCAAGATTTGATGTAATAGGTACTGCGCAAAATTTTTTAGAACTAAACATGCCCTTATATTGTTGCTGCTAGCAAAGCTTTCAACACATGGGTTGCTAGCTGAACAGCTAGAGTTTCAACCAGGAGATGGTTGTCTATGTATAGTTTGACTAAAGCCAAACATGTACGTGTATTGCATCTTTTTTATTTTAGTTCAATTCTTCAATCAATACCCTAATTTGGCGAATCACTTCTCTCGGGCAAAAATCATTGCTGATTATCATTTGATTTTTGTAATCGTTTGCCTTTATATTTTCAACATGTCAATAAGAGACTACTCAACTAAAGTCAAGAAATATTAGAAGCACTCCAAGTCCTGTCCTTTGCCTACTTTGTGTTCTGATTTGTGAAATATTGAAATTAGTTGCAAATTTGAGCATGTAAAGTTTTTATTGCTTCAAGGTGTTGCAATTTCATTTGATAATTACTCTACTTCATTTGTTCCATTTGTGCAGGACAACTCCCATCCTACGTGCGATTTGGTTTGGTAGCTTGCGGCAAAATGCAGAACCCTGTTATCTGGAAGCAGCACTATCAGTAGATGGCGGACGAATCAAAGTGTACATACAAACCATTGATATTACACATACATAGCGTTTGGTTCACGTAACTGTAACGTGATTTGATTACTGCAGGTAACAGATTCCATTATTCAATGTTTGTTTCCACACTCAGGGAATCGAGTCCTGCCGTTAGCATATACCGCACTATATAAAACCGAAACCGATACAGCTCCAACCTCAGCGTAATTAGATAACGATACGTTGCCTTCTCCCGCAATTCCATTCCCTTTGCGTTTCCGTTACCATTTCAGGAACCAAACGCCTTGATACTACTAGCTATTACTGTCACTGTATCACACATTGCGGCGTACGTACAGACAGCAAACAAACCAAGGATGTTAATGTACAAAGTTCAGTGCCTTTGCGGCACGACATTGCAACAAAAGGCCCATGCGCCCAGAACTACTACTACTTACTAGTACTGTCAGGGGTTAATCTACTTCTCCATAGCAGATTGGCAAGAGCTACCAGATGATATATCATCTCAGTACAACCCAAACCAAAAGGCTGGACCGGATCACGGATCACGTCGCAGCAAGTTGAAGCATCGATCACAAAAGACCAACCAAGCCTAACTTCGTTCGTGTCAGCCATCCGCGCTTGGACCAGTAGTGCCCTTCAAGCACGAGAACGGGTGGCACGACCGCCCGGGACATGTTCGCTGGCTCGTAAATGATCGTAAATTTTCGGTCGGGAACAATGTTTTTCTCTCACACCAAACTGGCAGTAAACAATTGATATAAACGCAGGGAGGCCTTCAGGATCGCCCAGCCCTGCACCAAAATCAAACATGCAAGATGAACGCTTATGTCAATCAAAATCCAACAACAATTGATATAAACGCATTAATGAAAGATCCAGCAGTGCAGTGATCGACCTCGTTGTAGCTCAGCTGCACGTTCTTCTCCTGCAGGTCGCCGAGGTCCCTCACGGCGAAGGTGTTGAGCAGGGTGATGCTGGAGATGGCGGACATGGGCGTCACCGTCAGGTCGTCCAGCACCGTGTACGTCACGATGCCCTGCGCGAACCCTTTCGCCGCGCTCTGCGCCACCACCTGGCCGGAGCTGCTGGACCCCGCCGACGGCAGGTAATTCGCTACCGTCGTCATGGAGTAGCCACAGTTCGGGCACGCCTTGCCGTGCTCGTCCGTGATGTATATAGGCACGGCAGTTGCTGCTGTTGTAAGCGCACCTGTAGAAAGTCTTGGGCTGCACAGGAGACTTCTCCGGCAGGTGGAGGAGGGAGCTGTTGGTGCTCGCTGCCGGCGACAGCACGGTCGGGCAGAGCAGCGCGTCCTTGGCGGCGTCGGCCTGCACGTAGGTGGAGTCCAGCTTGTCGACGCTGGCGTAGAGGTTGCCGACGCAGCCGACCATGGCCTCCTTCCCGACCAGCTTCACCGCCGTGGCGACGGGAAGCGCGAGGAGGGAGAAGAGGAAGTCCATGACTTCCTTGGTCGCCTCGGCGAAGAGCTCCCGCCTGGCCTTCCTGTCGATGAGGAGCTTCATGCTTAGCGCGGCGGCGGCCGTGGTTGCCATCTTGTCGTAGGCGTCGCTAGCTTTCTGTTTCTTGAAGTAGCAGCTAGTACTGGGGGTGAGGAGTTGCTTCGCCCGGCTGCACTGGTATACAAACAGACACGGGCGAGCTCCTCCACGGTCCACGGCAGGGAGCAAGTGGAGAGAGAGAGAGGGGGCCGACCGGCTGAGAAGGAAAAGGACCTGACTTACCGTGGTCTTGGAGAATTCGTCGACCGTGGTCTTGGAGAATTCTAGGAATCAGTATGGGTTATTGTAGCATTTTCGTTTGTATTTGATAATTATTATTCAATCATGGTCTAACTAGACTCAAAATATTCGTCTCGTAATTTACAATCAAACTATATAATTAATTATATTTTTATCTAAATTTAATATTCTATGCATATATTCAAAGATTTAATAGGACAGAGAGAGCGAAAAAAACATGCAACCTAAAACAAGGCCATGATAGACGAGAGGAGCCTGATCAAGCAAAATACAGTACAGTACTTTTCAGTATCTGATCTGACAGAACAGCTCCTCAAGCCTCCGTCTTCACGTCAAAGTTTCCATCAAATCCGTACTGTAGCAACTCGGGCTTGCCCGGGTTGGGGATTGGAATTGGAGCTCACAGCTCAACCTGCAAGAGGCTACGGATGATAGTGATTAACTCTGGGCATCCGAAGACCGAAGGCCGAACCGAAAAGATTGAGATCGAGACCGAAAAGTTTGGTCATGAGTTCGGTCCTGACTCCCAACTAACCGAAGTAATCGATAGAAGTTCGGTCATATGTGTCGGTTAACCGAAGTGACCGAACTGACTGTAGTTCTGTAGACTTCGTTCGTAATGTCATTATGTGTGATTGTGATTTGTGAGAACTGAGAAAGTTGTGTGCTATAACTTGTCATAATAATGTGTGGTTTGTTTTATATATTGTGTTGTTATTTTTTTGCCTTCAAATAGCAAGCATGCTGTTGAAAATTGCTATAGATTCTGCTATTGTTTGTGGCTGCTACTCAGATCCGGTTAGTTTGGTCGTGACCGAGACCGAACCGAACTAACCGAGACCGAACTTTCTCGGTCTTCGTTTTTTGCAAAGACCGATCGGTCCCAGGTTTCTGATGACCGAACTGACCGAATGACCGAGAAACCGAACCGATCGGTTCGGTCTGACGGAATGGCCAGGGTGAATAGTGATAGCGATGGAACAACAGTGATAGTGATGGAACAACTCAGCCAGGGTGTTTAGATGCAGACACTAGGCCCGTGTTTAGGCCTATTCCAAAAAATTTTGATTTTGGCTACTGTACCACTTTCTTTTGTATTTGGTAATTAATGTCTAATTATGGACTAATTAGGTTCAAAAGTTTCGTCTCGCGATTTCTCATCCAACTGTGCAATTATTTTTTTTCGTCTATATTTAGTACTCTATGCATGTGCCGCAAGATTCGATGTGACGAGTACCGCGCAAAATTTTTTGGAATCTAAACGGGGCCTTAGTTCCCAGGTTAAATTCCAAAAAAGTGCTACAGTACCCATCACATCAAATCTTACAATATGTGCATGGAGCATTAAATGTAGACGAAAAAAAACTAATTACACAGTTTGGTTGGAAATCGCGAGACAAATATTTTAAGCCTAATTTTATTGAACACTAATTGCCAAATAAAAACAAAAGTGTTACAGTAGCCTAAAATCCTAAATTCACCTGACTAAACACGCAGTAAGATATTATATGGGCGTTCGAATATTAATAAAAAAAATAAATTATAGAATCCGTTGATAATCCACGAGACAAATTTATTAAGCCTAATTAATTTATCATTAACATATGTTTATGGTAGCATCACGATGTTAAATCATGGACTAATTAGACTTAAAAAATTCGTCTCACAAATTAATCTCAATCTATATATTTAGTTTCGTAATGAGTCTATATCGTATCAAATATTTGATAGGACACTGACTAAAATTTAGAAGGTGTAAAAAAAACATTGCTCTATGTAATAATGCGCGCCGGATCAGAATATTGGCAGTGCGGCTAGTGCCACTGCTTCGATGCTTGATAGGAGAGGACGTGCATGGCCACCAGCTCTTCGCAAAGCGCAAGCAGCCGGGCTTAGGCCCTGTTTAGTTACACCTAAAATACCAATTTTTTTAAGATTTTTCGTCAAATCAAATTTTTAAATGCATGCATAAAGCATTAAATATAAATAAAAAATAAAACTAATTACATAGTTTAGACGAAATCTACGAGACGAAATCTTTTAAGCCTAATTAAACTATAATTGGACACTAATTATCAAATAACAATGAAAACGCTACAGTAGCGTTTTGCCAAAAAATTTTGGCATCCAAACTGGCCCTTAGATGTTACAGTTTTTTTTCCTCGTAATAAAACACTATCAGTCGATTTATCAGCCGTCAAAATCATCGTCCAAATAGCTTCTCATTGAAGGCCTGACAAAAGATTAGGCTGATCTTCATTTTACTGAAACAGGACGGATTGCCTGGAAATTATTGAAAAAAATTAGAACACGAGTTTACAAGAGGCGGTTCAAGATTGTCTGGCATTGAACTAGTACAGGCTTACAGTATAGTGGTATTTTTTCAATTAAGACAGACCCTATCTCTATCTGCACCTCCAAATTACTAACGACAAATCTCAAAATTAATCAAGTCACTACAGGCGTTGAATAATTTTTACTATCGAAAGCACATCACTTACCACTAAAAGAAAAAACATCGTTAAATCCTAATAATAAATTTTAAAAAAATACGAGTACTCACGTCAAGTTGAAAACCTAAACATGGCTCGATAAATTGCATCACAAAGAACCAACCAGCTGAACTACGCTAAGTTTGAAATTAGTTGCTAACTTGAGCATGTAAAGTTTTTATTGCGTCAAGTTGTTGCATTTCACTTCAAAATTAATTATTATGGTCTACAAGACAATTGACTATCTATGATGGTTAGTAATCACCGTAGAAATACATTGAATTTGCCATAGAAGCATAATAGATTAAGTGTCATTCCCTCGCATCGACACATAACGACCATCATAAAATGTTCTTTGCGATGTTATGCACAAACTCTTCATGGAATGGAAAACATATATGACAATTTATTCATTCATATGAAAAGGATTTTATGACGATTCCTATATTGTCATAAAATACATTCAATGATGATTAACACATTACTATGTGTGCACCTTCTGTTTCATCATGCACTGTGTGTGGCACAAACTATGACTAATCTTTGACATAATAAATTGAATTGGCTAAATCATATGCCTCTTACGAAAAAAATTAATTCATCATTAACATCTTTGTAGCGGATTAGCGGTGACATAGAAGGCTTTACAGACATGTATGTATAACAGATAAGAGGTTGTCAAAATCAATAGCAACATACTTTAGACTTTATCATAGAATAGCTCAACAAAGCATGCACATTTGTCCCCACATGTCATTTACATCCATTGCATGACATATCACTGTCACGCAAGTGTTCACTATAAAATTATCATCACAAAACTATAGGACATTATATCATCACAAAACTATAGGACATTATAGGCATCAACCAGTTCAATGAATGGCCAGCCATGTCACCAAATAAACTTGCTTGATAAATTATAAAGATAGAGCAGAAGCCTAGAGGAGGGTTGAATGGGGTGAACAACAAAAATAGCAAGTTAAAACCGAAATGTGCACCGCCTGTCAAAACCGAACTAGCCGGTTTACCAAAATGGTTTGTTAGACAGTTTTGCTAGCTGTACCAATACTACAGAAAACTGCGGAAACTAGTCTATCCGGTTTTTATAGAAAACCTGCACAAATGTTAGTCTCCCCATGCTTTTCGATCACGAACCGAATTTGTTATGTCGCTCCTTTGTGTGTTTTTCTACAAGTTCACGTAGCCCCTGCAGTCACAAAAACGCACAACCAAATAGATACAAAAGGAAGCATAAATATACAGTAGAGAAGTAAATACAAGGCAAACTAAATCAAGAGATGCAAAAATGTATTGTTGCCAGCACTGTTAGAACGAACCACTTAAAAAAATGAAGGACCTAGATGATCACTATAAGAGTTTATAGAGCAAAATGAAAATATGGAAAGAGTTTTGGGATCCATAATAAATTTCAGTCAGAGTTAAATTAAAAATTTGGCCAGTTGAATTTCCCACCGACTCGGAATCGTTCCCATCATTATGGTATTGATTTTCTAATTATTGGAACCACCATTCGTCTCTGAATAGTTGAATTAAAAATTTGGTGTTCCTAATTACTGCCACCATCCTTATCTCTAAATAGGGAGATTTACTATTTTTCGGGTGCCTAAAAAATAGTATCTACTGAGACAATAATGGTGAGCTTTTAGATAAAGATCCAACAGTACCAGATTATGATCTAAATTCACACAAAGACAATTAACAATATACAATTTAAATACAATTAACAATTTTTTTTGTCTATAGTAAAACAATTATAAAATTTTGATGTAAATCCATATAAAAAACAATTAACAAGTAACACACTCAATATACACGAATCTCAAAGCAAGATCGACGACCACACGTCGTCCGAACGAAAGCCTAATTTTATATATGCGACTGTTCCTTAGGAAAAAAAACGTAGGGGTGGCATGACACTCACTAGAATGTGAAAGTCATGCAAAATGGACGATCCTTGTGCCAAACCTTATAAACATTGTGCTCTTCCCTTATAATGAAGCCGGTAACGGATCTTTCAAAAAAAAAAAAAACTGTTCCTTAGAAAAAGTGAAATTGTCGAATTAAAAATATGGTGAATTTCTGACTGATTGACCATTTGCACCATAGACGTTGAAGCTCAACCCAACACCCACCTCCCGTCCTTGATTCGCCCCTCTGATGAAGTGCATTTTAAATTATAACTCTTTTCATTTGATAATTATTTCACTCGTTCCCTTTGTGCAGGACACCTCCCATCCTACGTGCGATGTGCTTTTGTGTAAAGATTATGTGCGTTTGTGTAAAGATTATGGTTTGGTCGCTTGCAGGCTTGCCGCGAGATGCAGAACTCTGTTATCTGGAAGCAGTACAACATCAGCAGATCGCGAGCAAATCCAAGTCTACAGACCATTAACATAACCACACGCATCACATCGTAATCACATCATTAGAAGTTGCACGTACTAGCATTAGTGTCAGACATTGTAGGAGTACATGTACAGACAGCAAGCAAGCCAAGGATGTACCAAGTTCAGTAACCAGGCGACAGAAATAGCTGCGGTACATATTTTCAGCAAGCCTTTGCGGCACGAAAGACCCATACGATCAGCAGTAGCTACTACTGAAGTACTAATCTACTGCTACTGCTAGCAGTAGAAAGCCAAGGATTGCCAAGAGGCACCAGAACCAGATGATATCGATTCATCAGTACAGCCAGATCCAAAAGGCTGGAACGCATCACGCCGCAGCAAGCTGAAGCATCACAAAAGACCACCAACCAAGCCTAATTTCGTTCATGTTAGCGCGCTTGGACCAGTAGTGCCCTTTACACTTCAAGCACGACCGCCCGGGGACGCAGACGACGCAGCCTGGCCGTGGAGGAAGACATCAGTGAGCACCGTCTTGGACTGCAGGGAGGCCTTCAGGATCGCCAAACCCTGCACCAAAATAAACCATCCATGCAATGCAAGCTACGTTGATGTCAAAGTCCAATAACAGTTGACGAACAAATTAAGTAAAGAGTAAATAAATGAAAGGTCCAGCAGTGCTTGACCTCGTTGTAGCCGAGCTGCACGGTCGTCTCCTGCAGGTCGCCGAGGTCCTTCACCTCGAAGGTGTTGAGCAGGGTGATACCGGAGATGGTGGACATGGGCGTCACCGTCAGGTCGTCCAGCACCGTGTACGTCACGATGCCCTGCACGAACCCTTTCGCTCCACCGGTGGAGGCGTTCTGCGCCTGCTGCCCGGAGCTTGGCGAGACAAAATTGGTTGCAGCCTGCATGCGGTTGCAGCAGTTAGGACAGACTATACCGCTCACGTCCGTCGTGTAGTTGCATCGGTTGCCGCACTTGAAGTAGCTCTTTGGCTGCCCAGACGACGGCCGGAGGAGGGAGCTGTCGGTGGCCGCTGCCGGCGACAGCACTGTTGGGCTGAGGAGCGCGTCCTTGGCGGCGCCGGCCTGCACGTAGGTAGAGTCGAGCTTGTCGACGCTGGCGTAGAGGTTGCCGACGCAGCCGACCATGGCGTCCTTGCCGACGAGCTTGACGGCCGTGGCGACGGGCAGGGCGAGGAGGGAGAAGAGGAAGTCCACGACTTCCTTGCTGGCCTCGGCGAACAGCACCCGCTGCGCCTTCCGGTCGATGAGGAGCTTCATGCTCAGCGCGGCGGTGGCTGTGGTGGTTGCCATCTCCCTCGTCGTAGGCGTCGCTCGCTTTCTTGAAGTAGTAGTAGTGTAGTACTAGTGCTGGTAAAGTGGTGAGGACTGGGCTGAGGAGCATTCGCTTCGTCGACCGGCTGCACTGGTATATACTCCATCCGTCCCGAAAAGATAGCCGTTTTAGCGCTAAAGCAATGTCCCGCAAAGGGTGTCGCTGGGAGAGTGGGAGCCTGTCTTCGTAGGTCCTGCACCTACACTGCCACAACTCAGCTAGCTAGTCTGCTGCTCTGCCTCACCACTCACCACTTGCCCACCCAACCAGCAGGCGTGAAGGTGGAATAGTAATGATTGTTACAGGAGTATACTATACTTAAAAAAATAAAGCCATTTTGACAGTGACACCGTCTTTAAAACATACTCCCTCCGTCCCACAATAACCGCACGTCTAGGTTCAATGCTCCAACTTAGTGGAGGTGGCAAATTACCTTTCTACCCCTATGCTGCCGTCCTGTACGGATCAGCCAGACCGACAGAGTAACAGTGCATATTGTCAAGCCCAGCAAATGTGTGGTCAGGGCGAGTTCCACGCCTTCAGCCCTGTCCGTCCGCGGCCACTCGTTCCGTAGAGGAAATAAAATACTACTAGTGCTTGAACTTTCCAAGATTCCAGGCTACTGCTGCGCTCGTTCAGGCCTATGAGAACCGAGTATTTTGGGAAAAATTTTGAAGTGCAAACGAGCAATTAAATTTGGACTGAGGGAGTAACTTTAATGATTTTTTATAAAAATATTTATTAAAAAATGATATATGTAAATTTTTGTAAAAATATTTTTTAAGATAAATCTATATATAATTTTTATATTTTTAAACTCAATAATTTAAAAGTTATTCATGATTTATATTTTCAGTATTTGATTCAAGTCTTATCTAAGACAACTACGACTTTATTTTTAAGCATAGGGAGTGCAGGTTATTTTCACTCTGTCTTGGGACTCTTATAAGAAGCCAGAACGTGTGTGTTTAGTTTCCAGAAACTTTCTCAAAAAATGCTATAATAGCTATCACATCGAATTTTATGATATGTGCATGGAGCATTAAATATAGACAAAAAAAAACTAATTACACAATTTAGTTAAAAATCACGAGACGAACGTTTTGAACCTAATTAGTCTATAATTAAATAATATAGTCAAATTTCTAAATTTCACACACAGCGCTCCCTCACCTCTACAGGGACACGGGCGAGCTCCTCCACGGTTCACGGCAGGGAGCAAGTGGAGAGACGGAGGTCTGAGAAGGAAAAAGACCTGACTAGACCGTGGCTTCGATAGACGAGATGAGCCGATCAAGCAAGATACGGTTTCCTTCAGACTCTGATCTGACAGGACAGCTCCTCAAGCCACGTCAAAGTTTCTATCAAATCCGACTGTAGCAAGCTCGGGCTTGCCGTTGCCGGGTTGGGGATTGCAATGGAGCTCGCAGCTCCAGCCTGCAAGAGGCTATGGATGGTAGCTGTACAAGCCCTTGTCGTAGGCTTTGTAAGGTGCCGGTTAGTTCATCCAAAACTTTACACCTGACATCTCGAATGCTAGGACAATATATAGTATTAAATATAAATAAAAAATAATAATTAATTATATAGATTACAACTGATTTACAAGATGAATTTTTTAAACCTAATTAGTTTATGATTTTATAATAAAAGTGCTACAGTAATACACGTGTTAATGATAGATTAATTAGACTTAATAAATTCGTCTCACGATCTATCGACGAATTTTATAATTTGTTTTTTTATTAGTATTCGAACACCTCGTGCTATCAGGAAGGAAACAAGGCCTCAGTTAAGCTGTGTAATTGCTCTCTAATAATGTGATGCGCCGGATCAGAATATTGGCAGTGCCACTGCTTTGATGCTTGATGGGAGAGGACGTGAATGGCCACCAGCTCTGCGCAAAGTGCAAGCAAGAGATTTGTGCTTGAAGGCCTGCCAGAAGATCGCTGATTTTCATATTACGGAAACTGGAGGGATTGCTTGGAAATTCTTGAAAAAAATAAAATCACGATTTCATGATAGGAGGTCGTTCAAGATGTTAAAAGGAACAAAAAAAAAAAGATTAACAAGATTGTCTAGGCATTGAACTAGTACAGGCTTACGCATTTTTTTTTCAATTAGATTAGAGACCCGCCCTATCTCTATTGGCACCTCCAAATTACTAACGGCGGATAGCAAAATTGATGAAGTCACCATAAACATCGACAACGGTTTCACGGTAGATACCAAGATTGATGAAGTCATCATAAGTGTCGCAAGGAACCCAAACAGTTGAACTACGCTAAGTTTATATAGGAGAGTGGTATTTTGGCTTTGCTCGAAAAATAACTAGAGGAAAGTAACAATTGTAGACAATACTGAGTTGTTAGTTGAACACTTCTAAAGATTTGGTGATTTAGAATGAACCATATAGAGCAGCACATGATGATGAAAATTTCCATGAAGAACAACACCGCAAGTTGACTACCAGTCTGTTCGCTTGTTGGTTTCAGCCAGCCCAAACCAGCCAGCCAACAATGTTTTCCTCTCACAATAAACCAGCACCTGCCAGCCTAGAAACCAACTAGCGAACAAGCCGGTGCTATAGTAGCCATCACATCTGAAGCTTGAGAGAATCTCAAATGTTTTGGCAAGAGCGGGGCTCTGCAAGTTAATCAAGCGAAGAAGTGATTCCTCTAGTTTGATCCTAGACGCTAACAGCCAACATGCTAAAATTAACAAACATAGATTTTAAACATGCAGTGCTGATAGTTCCCTTTTTGTCTATGTTTATATTAGCATCCATAGCAAGGGATAAGTTGTTAGTGCTCATAACAGGTAGTATGCTAAAGTTAGCACCATCAACACACAGACCCTGAGAGCATATCGAACAGTTGGTAATGCTATTCTTAATCTTCATTTTTTGGTAAAATGGAATAATATTTCTTGAACAACTCCCTATTCAAATTTGCAATCTATTTACACTTGAAAGACAGAGGCATGATATAAAATGACATGCAACACAAGATTTTGAGAGGATATAACACATCTTCTCAACAAGATATATAGCACGATTTTTGGCATGACATTGTCCTTTGATCTTCTTGCTATCAATCTCAACAATGCTTCCTCTTCTAGTGCAGCTTTGAATCTCCACAATTTGGGAATCTCTCCTAAGAAACTAAGGTACATACTCAAGAAAAGATAGATATATAGCTCGAGGGGATGGTTTGAATATGTTCGGCTGGTATTGTTTTGGCTGAGCTGGTAGGACTACTGATCAGCCAACAGTGATCAATCAGGCAGCTGCAGCCGAGCAAGCAGCCAGGGACATGGCAGTACACAACAGCAATAAATGCCATTCAAATTTAAAACTGTGGTAACTAAACAATTCAACACTTCAATCCAACAGCTGACACACAAGTTCAATAATGGTAACTTATGAACACTACTAAAAGTTTCATACATTACAAACAAGGACCTAATGCAACTTCGAATATTAGACAAGTTTACATACAAGTTCTTACAGGCCTCAATAGGTTCTAAGCATACATAGAAATTACAGTCCAGTTCAACATTCCATACAACAAATTAATACAAAATACCACTACCTACATATTGGACCATTCCAACATTTACAAATCTTGTAGCTGCACCAACAAGTCTCATACATATATTTCAAACCACAGCCCATCTATATGCAATTGAACTACTTTGCATGCTAAATCGAATCACCTTTTGCTGAATCATTCTCCCCAGAGAGCCAAAGATATGAACTCCCTCATTGCTGACATACTATTATTTGCATTGAGATGCACCCAGTTCGAAACTGGGTACGTGAAAGCTCTAGTTTGGTTTTAGTGAATTGATGAAACCCTAAGTGCTAACCTAGTTTATCAAGTGATCATGAGATAGGTAGCACATTCCATGTGGTGAAGCAAATGAAGATTATGACATGATGATGGTGATGCCATGGTGATGATCAAGTGCTTGAACTTGAAAAGAAAGAGAAAAACAAAAGGCTCAAGGCAAAGGTTAGGTGATAGGAGCCATTTTGTTTTAGTGATCGAGACACTTAGAGAGTGTGATCACATTTAGGCTCGATAGCCGTACTATTAAGACGGGTGAAACTCGTATCGAAATATAGTTATCAAAGTGCCACTAGATGCTCTAACTCATTGCTTATGCATTTAGGATCTAGTGAAGTGCTAACACCCTTAAAAACATTTGTGAAAATATGCTAACACATGTGCAAAAGGTGATACACTTGGTGGTTGGCACATTTGAACAAGGGTTAGGAACTTCACTGGCGGAGTGTCTGCCCGTAGAGTGCGAACAGTCCGACGGTGCCACCGGCGCTCTATATAGAAAAGACAGAAGTCGCTGTAAGTGTCCGGACGCTGGTCTCGGTAGGACCGGTCGCGTCCAGTCAGTGGCAGCAGTGAGCGCACGGTTTCGGTCTCATGACCGGATGCTGGCGCGAAAAATGACCGGACGCTCAGGGCCTGAGTCCGGTCAGTATGACGTATGATGACGTTGAGTGATCGGACGCTGGGTGTGTCTAGTCGGGCATGACCGGACACGTCCGGTCATGAATTTTCGCTTCTGGTACCTTACTGGAAACGACCGGACGCCGGTGTTGGTGCGTCTGGTCACTTTGAGCAGCGCATCCGGTCACTACTTAAATGTACTAATGACCGTTGAGATCCGGCGATCAGCGTTTGAAGCCGATGACACGTGGCGAGCATCGGCGACCGGACACTGGGGTCCTGCGTCCGGTCGATCTGACCGGAGCGTCCGGTCGCCCTCGAGCAATGCCCAGTGAAGGGGTACAACGGCTCTATTTCGTGGAGGCTTCTATTTAAGCCCCATTACCGGCTCTAGCTCACTCTCTTGGCCATTTACATTGACATAGCAACCTTGTGAGCTTATCCAAAGCCCTCCCACTCATATCCATCATAGATTCATAATCTTTGTGAGATTGGGAGTGAATCCA